TTGGTCCGCATCTTTTACCCTTTTTGTTTTCCCAGATATATTTGCAATTGTTTGTTTCCGGCAATTCACTTGTTTGATTGCTGGGATAAGTTCTCTCCTTCATTTGATTTTACCAATTTTTTATTTGAGCGGTTTTCACGAGTAAGATGTGAACTATGTTGATCTAGTTGTTCATGAGTATTTGAATTAATGAATTTCTTTTAAGTTTTCATTTATTTCATGCTACTTGCTAAATTTTTCGAAGATCTGTTCCAGTTTTGATGAGTTTCCAGACTTCTCTCTTTATTTTAAAATTATTTATTTAGATTTGTTTTGTAATGATCATTCTACAGCCAAGTATTTTTTGTTTTCATTTTTGTTATTTTCATTACCAAAGTGATTAATGGTTTCTTGAATAGGACATTCAATTTATGGGTTTCAAAATTGACATGACATTCTAACTAAAGTTCATTTCAGTATTTATTTATTTCTTTTGTTCTTTTTCTTTGAACAAATTATAATGCATACCCAATTGCAATGGAAGCCCCCATACACATAAGAGTGTTAAACTACTACTACAAAAGAGCAGATATGCTATATTTGAAGGATAGGAAACATTTGCAGGAAAGGAAAAAAAAAAAAAAAACAACAGATGGCAGTGAACCATCTGATAGTCACAACCAACTTAATTAGTACATACTTGGCTGCCTCAGTTTGCCTCAACACATATAACATACCTAGATGCCACAATCAACACTAACCAACCTCATTTTCCTCATCTGGCTACCAAATGAGGATAGTGCAAAAACAAACTTAGAAGTTGGCTACCAAATGCGGCCCTACACGTTGGTGCTGCTTTTTTCGGTGTCTGCTGGGGTGGCGGGCTGTGTTTGGTGTGGATCACCACTGGGAGATGGTGACATGGAGTGCGAAGAGGACTGAATAATTTCTTGAGAACTTTGTTGTTGATGTGTGTCCACAAGATCTCTCTTTCTTTTCTTGTTAGAGACTTTACCACGATGAGTGTGTCGCCGACTGCTAGTAGAACCAACACGTTCAGTTTGTTGGTTACGTAGTTGAGTTAGCCTCCTCTGAAACTCCAGTGCTATAATAAACATCATGTCCTCATCGTCATCAGATGAAGACGAATCACATAACATAAGTGTTTTCAGCAAGTTGCTCATTGTTGTAGTTTAGTATGCTCTGAAGATCTTGTAATTTATAGAGGGACAAAAAAAAAGGGATAGTGGTTAGTAGGTAGAAGAATGATGATTGGAAGCAGAAAATGGTAGTTGTGCTAAAAAAATAAAATTTGCTCTATCAAAGCAACATTAAAATAAAAAATAAATAAGTAAATAAAAGTTATTTTAACATTGAAATTTGGCTATAAATCTTGAGAAAAAGCAACCTAACAACCATTATAGTTACCACTATGAAGGAAAATTATTTAGTGTTGCTCAGCCAAGTATATATAGCCCTGTTTGGTAGAGCTTTGGGAAAGTGCTTATAGCTTATGCCTAAACAGCTTATAGCTTATAACTTTCAGCTTAAGCTGATTTCCAGCTTATTCTTAAAGCATCTCCTGCCCCACTCAAAGAATAAGCTGATTTTTGACTTCCACAAAGCTATAAGCTATAAGCTAAACCAAACACATCAAAATAGATTAAATTAAGCTGAAAACTGAAATAAGCTGTAAATAATTTCTGCCAAACAGGCACATACTGTTCTAATTTGATTTTTATTGGTTTAAATAATGAGGGCCTATCAAAAAAATAAAATAAATATCACAAATTAAATAATGCGGAACATTACTCCAAGAGCACCTAATAATCTCTAATCAAAACCAACTAATTTATTAGTTCTTCACTTCCATCATCTACATTGGCTTTTATGTTAACTTCTGTAGTCACCGAACTCTCTCTGGTACATTGCATTCCATTGGTTCGTGTTCTTATTTTTTGAAATCTTATATTGACACAATTTTTTTTGCTTTTTTATATCATTACGCCCATATTCTCATTCCACCCAATTAAGAATTTTAAAATTTTTATTCTCTCTTTAATTTTCCAATACACCAAATATATTCCCATCCCTAACCTCTCATATCCTCTCTCTCTGTCTCAACAAATGACTATGTAATTGCATGGACCAAAAAATTAATCATACATGGGAAAAACACAAAACATTTATTTGTTTGGCAAGTGGTAACTTTAGTCCAAAAAAATAAATAAATTAAAAAGTCATTAAAAAAATCAAAATGTTAACAACTTATACCAAAACGTCAAAGAGTTCTTTTTCTCTCTATTTTTTGCACATATTTTCGTAAAACACTAAAAAGTCATCCCAACTATACTAATTTTTTTTTTTTTTTTTTTTTTTTTTACATCAAACTCTAACCAAAAAGCCAAAAAATTACTTAAAAAAACCTATTCCCAAACAAGACCTGAGTTTCAAAATTTTGATTAGGGCTATATGGTTCTGATTGGTTCGATTATGAAGTAATCCAAGAATCAAATTGATAATCATAAATTTGGGTACAAATTTAAAAAGAAAAAAGTGCGTGAAATATTACATTTCACTCATATTTTTCATTTTTCTTTCCAAACCCCTGACCCAAATTCATTTCGAAAGATTTAATAACCAAATCAAACCCTTGGTACGTGAGGAACTGGACCAGAGCTAAAATGCAAATCAATTCCGTTCTAGTTCAAATATAGGCAAAAATTACTCACACATAAACAAACAAACCTACATACATACATACATACAAACAAACAAAGGCCCTAGCACAAAAGCAAACCCATATACAAATCCTCTTTCAGATCTCTAAAGGACAAACACATACACAAAAAACAAAAACAGAAAAGAGAGGGGGGGGGGGGAATATATAAATAGATAAAAGTAAAAATTGAAGAAATGCACAGAAAATACTGACAATGGGACGAAGTAGGGTTTGAAAGCAAACGGTGGTTGGATCGTGCGCAGTAGTTGAGAGGAGAAGAAGGAGCGCTGGCCCAAATAGTTGAGGGTGAGGGTGAGGGTGAGAGTGAGAGTGAGAGTGAGTGGTTTACGAGATATCCAAATGTGGTGCATTAGGGTTAGTGATTGAATGGTAAGTTTTATTGGTAAATTACCTTTCGGTCCATTTTATATTTGTCATTTTTTCACTTTACTTTTTAAATTTTATTTTTTCTCACATTCTTTATATTTTAATTTTTTTTTAATTAACTTCTAAAATTAACTTAGGGGTTGTTTGGAGTGTCCTAAATAAGTGTACTTTTTATCTACTGACTCAAATCTAAATATAATAATATATTTTTTATAATATATAACAATTATTGTGATATTTTTTTTAATCTAATTTTAAATAAAAGTTAATTTTAAGAGTAAATTAGAAAAACTTAAAACATAAAGGGTCAAAGTGAGAAAATGGTTGAACTTAAAAGCGGTAAAGTGTGATTTATCCTAAATTTAAGGGACAATTGCTGTAGAGTGGTGACAGAAAAAAAATAAGGGGGACTTATGTATAGGTCCTATTAAGTGGACTTATTATCTAATACGTTCTGTGAAAATTAATAACGTTTTTAATCAAACATTATTAAAAAATATCACTAATTATTAATTTTCAGTAATAATTTAAAATTTGTCATAAAAAATTTCACTAATTATAAGTTTTAGCGACAGTTTAAAAAAAATCATCACCAAACAATGTTATTAATTTTCAATTTTCAGTGACAATTTGAAAAATTCATCGTAGAAAAAGTCACTAATTATAAGTTTTAGCACCAATTTATAAAATCGTGACCAAAAAAAAGTCAGTAATTATTAATTTTTGACGACATATATAAAAAATTGACATAAAAAAATATTTTTAAAAACGATTTTATTATGACTTATTTTAAATAGTTTTTAATGAGATTTAAATTTAACTATTATAATATGTTAGGAGTTTATCTAAAAAATAATTACTTATAAATGAAAAAAAAATTATAATATCAATAGTTAATATTTATAATATTTATCATTATTTTATATATAAAAAAAAATCTGGCATCTACCGTGGTGGAGTTTCCCCTGAATACTATATTACACATTAAAAATAATTAAATAAATAAAAGATAGTGTACCATATGCTAATTTATGAATTATTGAGTATTGGTTATAATTTGATTATGACAAATACTTTGGAGCTTTAATTTTTGAATTTTAAAGTCAGTTCCAATGAGTTAACAGTGGGTCCCATCCACTGTGATATGATGTTTGGGCTTTCGTTTGGCTTTTTTGGATCATGATTGAGACCCCTTCCAATCACCACCCACACCACCCCCACACACACGTTGCGGGTGGTGATTGGAGGAGAAGGAAAAAAAAGAAAAAAAAAAAAGAAAAACTGACCAATCATGTTAAGAGGGGATCAAAGGGGGTGGGAGGGAAAGGGGGTCCAGAACATTATTGGACTTTTTTTTTCCCTCCTTTCCATGTCATTAGTGCTCCATTAGAGCACCAAAATTAGTACTCTGAATCATTGTTGTTTGATTATTATATATATTGTGGTGTTAGTTATGACTTAATTTCCTTTTTGTTTGTGATTTTTTTTATTAAAAAAGTTAAAATGTTATACAAAAAAAATTAAAATTTCACTCTCATGTTTATTGTTGTCTCTATTTCTTTTCTACAACCCTCTCTTTTAATACCCTTTCTCTCTCTTTCTCTCTCTCTCTCTCTCTCACACACACACAAATACTTACCATCTCCACCTTTGGTCGATCATCACTTTTCGCCTCCACCATCTCCATCGTTGGTTAGTATCGCTCATCGTCACCACCATTCGTTGTTGTCTTAGATCTACTACCGCGACTACCATGTTCATCGTTAGCAATTGACAGTTATCACCTCCACCACCACTTCCGTCGACGATGCTTATCATTTCCTCTATCAATGACTACTGTCTTCACCATTAACCTTTAACATTTCTGATTTGGTACTAACAAACTCAGAACTATCGACGAACTTAGATTTGTGACTAATGGCTTCAAATATGTTAGAAAAATGCCACTAGAGTTGTCCATTCAACCTCTGTAGCGAATAATAAAATTTTATAGTCAACCTATAGAAAAATTTTACTCTAGTAATATTGTTTATTTAATGTTTTAATAAATTTTTTTTCTATATGTAGACACCTCATTTTTTACCATCCTTACGACTTGGACACCACCGCTTGCGCACCCAATGATGAATGTGTATGTGCTTGCCAGGTGCTTGAAGGCCTTAGCAGAATGCCACAACTTTGAGTCTTCAAACCCTACACACCTTTTGTCTTGTTTTGGACCAAAACCATAGTTTTTCAAGCCTAAAAAACCTTGGGACTTGCCTGCCACCATTGTGAGCTGCCGGCCACTTGTGTGGTCTGCCGGCCAGTATTAGTGGCCTACCAGCCACAAGTGTATTTTTGCAGATATTTTGGTCAGTTATGCCAGCTATTTTCACAGATGCATACACTTGCCTACACGTGTATGTATTGATATTTCTGAGGGAGTTTGATGTTTTTTTATATATAGGAGACCTCCCCTTCCATTTTTGGGAGTTGAACACTTTGGAGCAAAATTATCTCTTTCTCTCTCTTGCAAATTCCTAAGCTTTTGCAAGCTTTTGCCTATACACTCTAAACCAAACCTTGTGGTCTAGGAGCTGGTACTTTTCAGCCCACTTTGAACTCTTAAGGGTGGGTAAGGATTCATTTGTGGCTGGGAAAGTGTTCTCATCTTCGAAAGGTATAAGTCTTGGCTTGTTTCCTTGCTTTGTTTGCCATTTTTCCTACTCTTTTTTCTATTGTTTTTAGACTGTCTAAACTATGAAATTTTGGGCTAAAACTTGTGGTTTAAAGCCAATACGGGTGAAGGGGTGACTCACAATTCCTTTCACCTAGCTTCCTATGCCTTTACCCTTGTGTTTCCCACCTATTTGTCCACTTTTTTTAAGCTTTTAAATACTAATTTTCAGAGGCTTTTCAGTTACTAAAAACATGTTTTGAAGTCCAAAAATAGAGGGGGTAGCCTCCCCTCCTTATGCTTTATTTACTAGCTTACATAGTTCAATGTTTTAGCTTATTGTTCTAGTTATTTCTGTCTTAATTCCAGCATGTTTTAAGACTGATTTAGCACTGTTTTAGAACTGTTTTTAAGTGTTCATTGCATTTGAGCCTTGTATTGCATGCTTGTAGCATAATTGTCCTCATAGGTTTGATGGTTTAGGCCTTAGCCACCAACCTATTTGAGTTGATACTATTTATTTCAACCTTTCCATACTTGTGATCACCTCTAATCACCTCTACAACCTTCGTTTTTTCATGGCTTTTTATTTGCTTTGAAAGTTGTTTCAAGCCACTTGTTTGTTTAAACTTGAGATTGAGGTCTTGTACTTAATGGTTTAATCCTTTTGGGGGTTCATTACTAATGGAATGACACTTCTCTCATGCCTAAAACAACACTTGGTTTGGTACTCCTTTCCATTAGAGGACTATAGACACCCCATTTTTGACCGTCCTCAAGACTTGGACGTCACCGTTTGAACACTCAGTGATCATCCATGTTTGTGTTCGCTTTGAGTTCTCAGAGGTCTCAGCTACGCGCCTTGCCTTAGGATCTCTCGACTTGCTTGTTTTGTGTTTGGTTTTGCACCAAACACTTGTTGTTTTGCTTCTAAGGGCATGGAATGGCTTGTTGGTCATCTTCACACCTCACCGGCCATGGCTTGAGGCCACCGGCCCTGTTTTGTTGCTACCGGCCATTGGTGATGACCGGTCGGCACTCTTTGTGGCCGGCCGACCATTGTTTTGGTCAATTTGTCATTTTTGGCTGGCCGACCACTATTCATCTTCTTTTGGCAGATATTTTATGCCAGCTGTGATAGCTGGCATCCACAATGCCCCCCCTCCATACACGTGTATAGAGGGATTTTCCTCTTGCTTAACTTGTTTTGTAAGCTTTGCAAGATTGGAATTCTTATAAAGGGAGGGCTTCTCCTCCCTCCTCAAGGGTTCCAAAAAGTTCCAGAGGTCTGAAAAATTAGGGTTGGAAGTTCTATATCTATCTATCTCTATATCTCCCATTCCTTTTGATTTGTGTGTGTATAAGGGGTTTTTGTTCTTAGTTTTGCACTAAGACACATAGTATTACATCATACCTTGGTTGCTGAGGTGCCAAAGAGTTGTTCTTGGAGTTCTTGGGCTGGTTTTGACCTAAGGAAGTGTCTGGAGGGGTGTTCTTGAAGAAGGTCTTCAAGGGTAAGAACCTTACCCCTTTATTCCCCATTTTTGCACAAGCTTTTGACCTATCTTGCATCTGTTTTTAAGCTTAGTGTATAACTAATAAAAGTTCTATTTTTACTTGCTTTTGATCTTTGTTTAAGGTCTCTTTGAGATTTGGAGTTGTTTCCCCCCTCTAAGGCCTTGTTAGGCCTTGTTTTAGGCCATCTATTTTGACCCCTTGCTTTAGTCTTTGCAAGACCTCTCTACCACTGAAATCCAAAGGATTTTCAGTGGTGGAGAGGTAGTTTTGGTGTCCTAAATGGGAGAGGGTCATCCCCTCTCCATGTTGCCTTTGATGCTTGCACAAATGGCTTGTGTTGTAGCTTGTATGCCTAGCTTGCTTTAGCTTCATTTCAGCCGGTATTTGTGCTTATTTTGTCATGATATAGAACTGTTTTAAGTTGGTTTAGACATACCATGCATGCTTTCCATACTTGTCTTGTAATGCCATGAAATTGCCTTAATATGCATCATAATGTACCATGACTTTCTAGCATGATTTTGGCTTAGCTTTGTGAAGTTTTTATGCATGTTTTGGTATGCTTAAGGTCTGATTTTGGTTGTTTGGGTCATCCATGACTTGCTTTGTATAGCTACCATGCAACCTAGCTTGTAGACTTTGAGTATTGGATCATCTAGCATGCTTTACTTGCATTATTTCAGTGACTTGGAGTCGCTTACCATGTCATTTCTGTCCGTATGGCATGCTTGTTTACTCACAATTGATGCTTCTTTAATGTCTTAAAGAGTTTGTGTTTCATGCTCCATGTTTGTGCCATTGTGTATGCCATCATGTGTA